TGTTGCTGGTTAGAGCGCCACACTTTGATTAGCAAAGTCCTAGACAAGTTTCCCATTCATATCAATTGGATGGATCCTCAAGAGGATCCGATAACTGTAATTGTGGAAATAGAGAATTTACAATGAGCTGTAGCCCAAGCAGCCTAAGACCAATACAACTAATAACAAGCATTATCCCACCAGTCTAACAAATAGTGGCTGTCATTACATTTCCATGTTTCCTTCCGGTCCTCAGGATTCATTCACAATTGGACAGTTCCAATGGGCAACTTTGCAAGAGTCTCATCAAGGTCATATAGGTTATAGGAACTGAGGCAATTTCATGTACCTTCAGGTACATGAACAAGCTCATAATACATATTTATTGCCTATGGCGAAGTTTATGGTATCAAATTACGATAGTGAACTCTGCATTTACTTAATCCGATGCTGCTCAAACTTTTTATAAAAGTGTGCAAGTTGTCTTGTCTCCTTGAGAACTATTGACTGGACCTAAATTTAACCCTGCCTAAGGTCATCTTCTTACTGCAAGTGTCCCGAGAGTCAGGGCAAGGTTTAAAGTAGGTTTACTAAAGCATATCCACTCCAGAGAAACTTGATCCTATAATTCTGTGATAAAAATCAATAGAAAATATAATGAAAATCCTGGAGTGGAAAAAAACCCCCTCCACATTTCACCTATAATACTTAAAATAGTGATTGGTAAGCATACTTGTCACATTGAAAGTGCTGGATATAGTACACATTTCTTCTCGTTGACAAAATGGTTGATTATGTTCACTGCTGTATTTTGCTATTGCTTAAAATAGTGCTCCTGGGACTGCTGCGGAAGGATTTAAAAAAAAAGGAATACAAGTCACTTTTTGTTAACTTATAAAAAGATACAAGGAGACTTAGAGGGGAAGATTAACTTCAGAAATTCCTTACTTACGAGTTGGGGATGTATAGCATGATACCACTCTTACGAATTTTTTAGATATATTATCTTATTTTATTCTTATGCCAGCTGGTGAAGAAGAAGGGGGAGGCTATTGGCAAGATTTAAAATGTGTATACCCTTGACTCAGCAATTCTAAGAGCCAGTGCCATAAATTCTTGCATAAGTGTGGGAAAATGGATGTACAGGGATGGTAACTATAGCATTTTCCATTGTAGTGTTGTTAGAAATAACCCCAAACTGAGGGCTATAGAGGTGAAAGCTTACATAAATTATGGTACCCATAACCCAGACCACCTGGTGATGTATGAAGAAAGACTGGCGATGGATAGGCATATACTGACATTGAGTATTGAATGAACAAAGCAAGTCGCAGAACTTGAAAAGAAAACGTTTGTTTTTCCTCTGTGTGTGTGTGTTTAAAAATGTCTATGCATCAAACTTAACAGTGGTTACCCTGGAGGAAGGGAGATGGGGGGCCAAGAGGGAGAAATCTTCCTCTTCTTGTGATTCTGGCTTGAATTTTGATAATGATCGTACGTTACTTTTGTAATTAAAGTATTATTTTGAGAAAAACAAAAACAAGTTTGGGTCCTAGTTCCACCTCTGCTACTAATGTTAGACCAGGGGTTCTCAACCAGTGGTAGGTTTGTGCCCCACCCCTGCTTTCGTGATATTTTGCAATGTCTGGAGACATCTTTTGGTTGTCACATGGGGCATGGGGAGCTTTATGTAGTGGATGGAAGCCAGGGATGCTACCAAACATCCTATAATGCACGGGACAGCCCCTCCACAACAAGGAACTATCCAGGACAAAATGTCAGTAGTGCTGAGTTGGGAAATCCTGCGTTAGACTGCAGAGCTGTAGCTGTGTTCAAATATGCAGGCTGTCTACCTTACAATACCAGGGGGTGCCATTCACATTGCGGGGTGTTCTGTGCACAACCATAAAATTTTATAATTATGGTATAATGAGAGTAAATAAATATGTGAAACAGTGTGCAGGAAGTAGACCCCAGAGTTTTCTGCTTTACCTGTGCACCTGGCACAGAGGCTGGCACATTTGTTGAATGAATGGGTGAACTGAACCAGATGTCACATGTTAGGCTCTAATATACCCAGGTTGTAGCAGATGCTAAAGATTTAAGGAGAATTTATGGAAGAAACTTAAAATTATAACAGATGTTGTCTGTTAATTAATATTTATCTGAAGATTGGCAAAAGACTTAATATATATATTTAGCTGCAGGACACCTTAGTTGACTTTTCCCAATGCTTTTTGATAAGAAAACTATGATTGTTTATAGAGGAATACCAATAGGGGACACTATCTTGTCTTATCTTCCTAGAGTTGGTTTTAAAAACCCTTAGCTGTCGCCCTGGCCACTGTTGCTCACTGGTTAGAATGTCAGCCTGTGCACCAAAGGGTGGTGGGTTCGATTTCCGGTCAAGGATTTACCTGGATCATAGGCCAATGCTGAACCGCTGAGCCTCGCGGGCCAGGTGGCTTTGTCCTTTCTTAATGACCATACTAACATGAAGGAGCAAAGTGACATTTCTTTGCAAATCTATGTGGTTTCACTAAATGACTCAAAAGTGAAACGTTTGAATAAGTCATTCTTTTAATTCCCCAAACTTGAGCCAGTACTAGAATATAATGATATTCAAAGTCAAAACTGAATTTGTAAGACCCAAATTTAAATCCCTCAGAATGTTAATGACATTATACATATTTATACCTTTTATGCATTCAATTTACTTTCTCCCTTGTTATTTGTATTTTTAACCACTTCAGCAGAATTGCCCCATTTGTTTTTAATTTTTGTTCTTACCCTGTTTTTAGTGTGCTTCACTGCTTGAATCCCTTTACTTTTTTAAAATATGTGATTTGTGTGCTATCACTAGGCTGATATTCTAATTATTATTATTAGCTCTAAAGGATATAGACTTGAGGAGAGCTTTTTATTGAACCGTCATTGTGCTGTGTGGAGAGTGCCGGATTCCAGACAAGTTCTTCCTTTGTATTTTGCAAGATTCCGTTGCCCCAGGTAATCTGTAGGGAGATGACCTTTGTTGGGCTATGAGGGAAATTTTAGGTAGATATCAGTAGCTCCGCAGGCAGTGATTGCTTTTGTTGCAATATTTTTGCCTTTTGAGGTCTATCAGTTACCATTACTCCAGCAATTATTTGTGAAATAATAAGAATGACCCTGTGCTGGAACTTAATGCCCAATTTTATTTAATTCTCACCATAGCCTTATTAGGTAGGCACTGTTTCACACGAGTTTTACAGAAGAAACATCTGTTATGCAAAGAGGTGAAGTGACTTGCCTTCAGGTCAGACAGAAAGTATTCGAGTCCGGATGGAACCCAAAGTGTCCAGCTAAAAATCCTGAGATCTTAACCCGTAGGCTCGGTTGCCTCTCTTCATACTCAAATCTGGTAAGACGACATTGCCAACTTCAGGAAGCTGAGTCTAATGCCTCCTAATCCTTAACAGCACAGTTCTGCAGCTCTTGTGAAAGTTGTTTCACAACCAAGGATGAAATTCTGAATTATTAGAGAGAACAGGGAATTGTCAGGTGGTACAGACTCACTTATTCATTCATATATTTATTCAACCAACTGAGCCCCTACTATGTGTCAGTATGTGGTTAGGTGCAGGGGTTATTATGATGACTAGACACTACCTGCTGCCATTAGTTTACACCATAGTGGGTAAAATAGACTTTAATCAAATGCATCCAAGGTTGTATAAGTATACTGCTGAGGAACCCAGTGTACTTTGGAGGCAGAGAAGAATCTGGAAGGTGATGCCTAAGTTGAGATCTGAAGGATGAGTGAGAATTGGGTAAAGGCGGAGGGAGAGCATCTCAGACCTGGAAGAAAAGCACTCTTTCTGGGAGGGAGTAGAGCAGGCTGTTTGAGAAGCTGAATTGTCAATATGCCCGGGGCAGAGAGCAAAGAGGAGAGCCATGGTCATGGCTGGAGGGGACTGACTGAGCAGTGTTGGGCTTTAGGGATTTTGGTCTATCCTTAACAATGGAAAGCTACAGAAGGTTTTTCTACAAGGACGTAACATCAGATCTGTGTTTTGAAAAGATTACTTGGGTATCTGCACAGAGAACCGATTGGAGGGGGGCTGAAAAGCTGGGTGGACATTGCCTAGGATAGTAGGGGCTTCCAGTAGTGCCAATGACAGATGCAGATGGCTTATGCTAGGATGGTGGCAGTGGGGCTGCTAAGAGATGGATGGATTTGAGAAATATTTGAGAGTAAAATCAATGTTTTCTGTTGGACTGGATATGCAGTTGGTGTGAAAGCTGACTCCTAGGTTTTTAAATTGTGGAACGAGGCCAATGACGGAACCACTCACTGAGATGGGGAAGACCATCAGGGATCCTTTTGGGGAAGATTGTGAATTCGGTTTTGTACATATTTAAGATATTCATCACTAGGTAGACTGTTGGGACTAATTTATCATTTTATTTATTTATACTCTATCTACTTTCTTTCAAACAAGATTTGAGGTGACAATTCAAGCTAGTATTTTTTTCCCCTAAGGCAAAAGGCCCTTAGATGCTATTAAAATACATTTTATTTGTTATTTTTATCTTTTAAACAACACAAGCTTTTGGTATTTCAGAAGCCATTCAACTTTTAAATAGGATTAGAGGAGGAGAAATGGTTCAGTAATTCTATTTTAACTCGAAGCTATAAAATCAACAACTTTTAAACATTACAAAGAGTGGCTGTCCAGTGTATAATATTTTCATTGAATTGGAATATCTCCAATGCTGTGCACTTCAGCATAAAGAGACTTTAATGGAAGGCATGGTACAAACTCCATGGTATTTGTAGATTAAATCTAATATCTTAAATTGCACTGGCGACCCGCAGACTGAAGGGTCTTGGGTTCAGTTCCGGACACGGTCACATACCTTGGTTGCAGGCTTGATCCCCAGCCCCAGTTGGGGCTCGTGTGGGAGGCAACCAATTGATGTCTCTCTTTCTCTCTCTTTCTCTTAAAATTAAAAAAAAAAAATTAAATTGCACAGGGAAGCAGGATATACACTCTTGAGGAAAATGCACTATTGATGAAGAAATAGATAATGAGAGAAAATTAGGGAATGGCTTTCCTGCAGCTGGAGTAACCAGGAACTCTTTAATAGTTCTGCCTAGACAACATGGTCTATCATAATGGGAAGAGAAGATTTTCCGAAAGTGCTAATTTTGTGTCCGACCATTTCTTTTGGGTTAGATGATGACCATCACTAGCTACTACAAATCCCTACAGGTGTACTTTATCATAAATAAGTCAGTGACATTCTGTTTTAAGTAAATGTTTTTTCTTTGTAAAATCATGAGTGTTGAGTAAATGTCATGTTTGAATTTTACACCTTTTACAGAGTCCATATGACACTGAAAACTCATTTCTTCAGAGAAGTTTATTTAAGCTCAGTAGATGTATCAACATAACTGTGACCACAGATATAACCAGTCTTTGGCTATGGCTTCTAAAACTTTTAAATTTTTGTCTTTCTTTTTTTAAAATCTCAGACCTTAAGATAGTTTTATACAAATGTATAGCAAACAAAGGTATGACAAATCTGAATAATGTATTCAATATATGTTTATATATTAAAATCATGTAAATTAAAGCATGTTTATTTTACATTGACAGTTGATAAATGAACTTTTACTTCAGCATATCTGTTTTCTAGGTTTGAAATTTTATGACAAGCAACCCCCCTAACCCTGATAATTTAAAGACTTTTGTTACTTAGATTTTAAATAACTCTGTGTTAAGTACTGAGTGCTTCTTAAGGAACTCAGTGTGTTTCCATGTGACTAAAGTGATTTACCTAAGAAATATATCTGAACCAGAGTGGTCTTTATTGATCACAGACATTTGTATTAACATTTCACTTAAATCACTATTAATAATAGCCTAAGTAATAGTTTGGCTTATTAACAATGATGAACTTTTTTTTTAAAGTAGAGGTATTTGGTAGGAGAGAAGATAATATACTAACTTTTAAAAATTTGTTATACAGGATTAGCGGAACCGTTCTTTGTTGCCAAACATGAAGATAGTTTGCTTAAGGATTTATTTCAAGACTATGAAAGATGGGTTCGTCCTGTGGAACACTTGAATGACAAAATAAAGATAAAATTTGGCCTCGCAATATCTCAATTAGTGGATGTGGTAGGTGTGCATGCCATTATGTATTTGATTTCACACTCCCGTGTGGTTAAAACGGCTCTCTGGAACCTCGCTGTAAGAGGGATGCCACGTGGTGTCCCCAGGACTCATTTTCCCCATGCTGGGGCCTCACAGCCACCTTGGTCTCTGGGGACGTGTTTCCTTTCAGCCTCCTCCGTCCTTCTGGGTCATTCGCCTGTTGTTGGGATGGGACAGGGGATGGGTGCCCTCCAGTCCGCTGAGCTGTTTGTCCTTCTGTCCTCTTCCCTGCTGTGGGGACTGCTCACACTTCTGTGGGTCTCTGCTTAGCGCTGTATCCTACACAGTGTATTGTGGTTGGCGATTATGATCTTTTACTGGTTCAGTTGGCTCCGTGCTATTTCAGTAAAATTTAACGGAAGAGATGTCACTTTCACTCGGCCTTGAAAATTCTGTGAATGACTGGCATAAGCAAAGACATGACAGCATGAGGCATACGTGGCAAGTACCAGAGACCCCTGAAACTCTAGAAACGTGGGGTCTGGAAGCTTTATGAAGCTGCCATCCAAGGCTGTGACCTCAGTATTTTTTTCTATGTAGCAGCTTCGCAGAGATTCAGATCTGTGCCTCAGCAGAGGCAAATAATGACAGGTTATGGTCCCTCTGGAGTGCACTGAAACACTGTATCTCACTAGGATGCACACGTTTCTTCATGTTAGCACTTCTGAAATCAAGATGTGTCTTATAATCAGTGGCAGCTCTAAAGTCCTTGTCAGCCATGCTCTTACTTAGTGCCAAGTACATAAAGTAATACTGTGCTTATTTCTTAGATTTTATCTTAGATTGGAGGAAATATAGTAGTTAAGACAATGAAAGTTAAGTCTAAAAATGCCAGTGGTGTACTTTAGGGCCATTTATCTGAAATACAGAATATATTGAAAGGCATAATGTGAAATTAGGCTGGAAAAAAGGTCCTGCGTTTCTGGACAGCTGGACTGAGGAACAGAATGTAGATCTACATGGGGAGGAGTGTTTGTATAAAATGAGAAAATTCATATTTAAAGAATTATTGTTTCTGTGACTAGAACAATCAGTCTTACTTAAATTTTTGTTTTATAGGATGAGAAAAATCAGTTAATGACAACGAATGTCTGGTTGAAACAGGTATGTATAAAATTCAGAAGGCCACTTAACTAATGACTGGCACGAATGTTATTACTGGGTCTGCAGCACAAAGGGGCATGAGTGAGGAGTTGGACTGGAGGATGCAGACAGCTGAGGAACATGGAGTTCTTGCATTTACTCAGTTGATATTATTTGAGTTCCAGGCACTGGGGAAACAACAGAGCACAGAACAAACAGAAGACCTGTCTTCAAGGAACTTCATTCTAGTGCATGTGTGTTGGGGGGAAACAAATAAGAAACCGATAAGCTTGGGGGAAAATACACTGGGAAAGAGGCTAAGATGTGTTGGGGTCTGTATTTTTAAAAAATATATAGCTTTATTGATTTCAGAGAGAGGAAGGGAGAGGGAGAGAGAGAGAGAGAAACAATGATGAGAGTCATTGATTGGCTGCCTCCTGCACACCCCTGCTGGGGATTAAGCCTAAAATTGAGGCATGTGCCCAGATCGGGAATCAAACCTTGACCTCCTGGATCATAGGTCGATGCTCCACCACTGAGCCATGTCAGCTGGCCGGGCTGGGGTCTGTATTTTTTTAAAAAAATATATCTTTATTGATTTCAGAGAAAGGAAAGGAGAGGGAGAGAGAGAGATAGAAGCACCAATGATGAGAGAGTCATTGATAGAGCCCGCAACCCGGGCATGTGTCCTGACCGGGAATCGAACCTGGATCACCTGGATCCCAGGTCGATGCTCAACCGCTGAGCCATGCCCGGCCGGGCATGGGGTCTGTATTTTTAAATAAGATGGTCTGGGGAAGTATCAGTGAGAAGGTAATGTTTGAACAAAGTTTTGAAAGAGGAGAAGCAAGCCACGTGAATATCTGGGGGAGGGCTGTTAGGCAGGGGGACTGGCAAGTGCAAAGGCCCGGAGGCTGGAGTTTGCCTGGTGTGTTTAAGGAACAGCAAAGAGGCCAGTGTGGTGAGAGGTGAGTGAGCCCCGGGAAGGAGCATTGGAGATGAGGTAAGAGAGGCAATGGGAGGCTGATGGTATAGCAGCTCGTTGACCGCTGCAAAGATTTTGGCTTTTACTCTGAGTGGGATGGGAATGGGCAATAATGAATTACTTTTATGTACATAGTCCCTTTTATATAAAGGACTTTTGTTTTTCCCTGGGTCATCATACATGTCTCCTTGACTGCTGTAGAGTGCTTCCCTTTGTTCTTTCTTCACTATCCCTACTTTTTAAGACCTACCACCAGTTCCCTAACCCCTAACTCCTAAAAGGCATGTCTGCTTTTCTTGGGGTGCAAGTCTTAGCTTGATATGATCACAGAATTGTTACTGTGTGGAGATTGGACAAGGTATTTAAATATGTGGAATGTGTGATAAATCCAGCTGTTATTTGCATGGACCTGTCCAGCCAATCATTGTCGATACAGTTGGAAAAAAGAATGTTTCCCTTGAATCTGGACCCTAGATGCCCGTGGCTGCAACTCCTGGGCATGGCTAGTGGCTGGAGAAGGGGTGCTGAGCAGAACCATGTACACCCCTCAGCCTGGTCCTCACCGTGTCTCATGAGGACCATGCACAGAGCCACAGCACCAGGGGCCATGGCTGCTCCAGTGCCCACAGGGAAGATATGCAGGTCATTTTCTCTGTTGGGAGTAGAGATGATTTCATGTCTAACATTTCTGAGTTTGGCAAAAAGAGTGCAGTTTTCAGTACTTATGATTATTAATTTCACTGCAATTCTTGTTTTAAAGGAGTGGAGAGATGTAAAATTAAGGTGGAACCCTGATGACTATGGTGGGATAAGAGTTATACGTGTCCCTTCAGAGTCTCTCTGGACCCCAGACATTGTTTTGTTTGATAAGTAAGTTATATTCCAAATACCATTTGATGTTTCAAAAGAAGACACTTGTATTTCTATTAGGCACTAGTAATGTTTTCTTCTTTCTGAAAATTGTGTAGCTATAAAGTCAAATGACTTGATTTCACATTGTTTGGTTTCAAATAGGTTCTGTGGGTCCCCTCCTTTTTGTGTGTGCACATACTGTTTTCTGATCATAAAAGTGTTTGATTTCTAACATTTGTAACACATTTGGGAAGTCCAGAAAGAGGAAAGGAAGCAGGGGGAGGTCACCAGTGATCAGCGCCATCATCCAGCACTTGGAGGAATCACGCAGACAGTGAACTCACGCTGCCTGGCAGGATACTCAGGGCCGTGTGTGCTGTTTGTTCAAGTCCTTCAGTGACCTCCCGAGCTGGGCACGGTTACATCCAGCTGACAGATGAGGAAGCAGAGGCCTAGGGTGGTCACACTTCGTCTGAAATCACATGGACCAAGAGTGGCAGGGTGGGGTTCTGACAGCCCATTTACCCTCTTATTTACTGGGCTACATATTTGGCAGACTGCCTTCCAGATTCTTTTGTATATTTTTGAAGTAGTCGAGGCCATACATTTTTGAAGTAGTCAAGTGCACATCCTTCTAATTTTGCTTAAATACTGGATTGTAATTATCCCATGATGAAGAGCGTTGAGTTAACGCATCTTTGCAGGCATCCTACCTAGATGTGTTTTAGGATGGTTTTGAACTTGGGGAGAGGATAATTCTGGGTACCAGTTTCATTTTTTCTAGGACCACTGCAGAGCAAATCTGGGAATCTGTGCTTGTCCTAAAGTACTTTGTATTATTTGCAAGAAGACATTTGGCATGAACACAGAGTACATTCTACACAAAAATATCTTTAGTCTTTTAAAACTTTTACCTCCATGCTTCTCAATATGTGAAGAGCAAATGAAGCATAAGGTAGCATGATGCAGCTTCCTGGAGCATCCTTTTATTCTAAATCATTGAAAACCTTTTTGCATTAAACATGGATATGTTACAGAACAGTATGCAAAAGTCACATGAAGTTTAAGACACAGCACAATATTTCAAAGAAATCTTATGTTGGTGGGCAGTTTCCTGATAATTTCTCCAGAATATGAGTTCACTTGGTGGGAGAGTTTGGAAGGCACCACCGTCTGTCAGAGCCATGGCCGGCTTGGTGCCCTTTTCCCGACAATGTACAAGTATCCGGTGTTTGTGATGGAGGGAAGAGCACTGTGCGGGGAGCCCAGGATTCAGGTTCTGGCTCTGTGCACATCCGTTGTACAGATCATATTTTGTGTGTAAAGTGAAATCTTTTCAACCATGAAAATGACAGGATTCTGTGAAATGTAGATCTGTTGGTCTCGGCATAGATGTGGAGGAAGGTATCCAGCTAGGAGTTAGGTATTTAAGATGTCCTTAAAGCAGAGTCCCTACGTGAGCAGGCACATCTCAGACGTAGTCATTTAAAGAGTATTTCGTGCTGAGATATAGGCTTTCTTTTACATTAGGCTTGTAAAATACATGCTTGGGTTGCTTAGTTTCTGCATTGTTATTGTGTGCGTGTGTGTTTCAGCGCAGATGGACGTTTTGAAGGAGCCAGCACGAAAACAGTGGTCAGGCATGACGGCACCGTTACGTGGACTCCACCGGCAAACTACAAAAGTTCCTGTACCATAGATGTCACGTTTTTCCCATTTGATCTCCAAAACTGTTCCATGAAATTTGGTTCTTGGACTTATGATGGATCACAGGTTGACATAATCTTAGAGGACCAAGACGTAGACAAGAGAGATTTCTTTGACAATGGAGAATGGGAAATTGTGAGTGCAACGGGCAGCAAGGGAAACAGAACCGACAACTGCTGCTGGTACCCTTACGTCACTTACTCCTTTGTGATTAAGCGTCTGCCTCTCTTTTATACCTTGTTCCTTATTATCCCCTGTATCGGGCTCTCGTTTTTAACTGTACTCGTCTTCTATCTTCCTTCAAATGAAGGGGAAAAGATTTGTCTCTGCACTTCAGTCCTTGTCTCTTTGACTGTATTCCTTCTGGTTATTGAAGAGATCATACCCTCATCTTCAAAAGTAATACCTCTGATTGGGGAGTATCTGGTGTTTACCATGATTTTCGTGACACTGTCGATTATGGTGACTGTCTTTGCCATCAACATCCACCATCGTTCTACCTCAACACATAACGCTATGGCTCCGTGGGTCCGCAAGATATTTCTCCACAAGCTTCCAAAGCTGCTCTGCATGAGAAGTCACGCAGACAGGTACTTCACCCAGAAGGAGGAAGCCCAGAGCGGCAGGGAACCAAAATCTTCTAGAAACACATTGGAAGCTGCGCTCGATTCTATTCGATATATTACAAGACATGTCGTGAAGGAGCACGATGTTCGTGAGGTCTGTGATGTGTCGTATTACAGATGCAGGTCCTGACCCTTCCAGACTAAGCATAGATTGAGGGCCAGACATATTGACATATGTTCTATAAAAGATCTTTACTAAAATCTGTTCCAGGTAAAACATCCACAAAATGGGGCACCTGAACACAGCCCACTTCTCAATTTCCCCCTCGGTACCTCGGATGATTTTAAAGGAAATAGTGTTGTGCGGACTGTTATGTTAGCCTAAGGCAGGGGTGGGGAACCTTTTTTCTGCCAAGGGCCATTTGGATATTTATAACATCATTTGAAGCCCATACGAAATTACCCACTTAAATATTAAGTAGATAATTATGAAAAAAGCTCCTAGATTTATTGAATTTAGTGGGTAACTATGAAAAAAGCTCCTAGATTTATTGAATTTCGATTCCTGTCTGCTGTTGCCTTGGCAGGGCCGGACTGAATGATTTTGCAGGCAATATACGGCCCACGGGCCAGACATTCCTCACCCCTGGTCTAAGGAATGACGATCCTGCCATGTGTTTGGAGCCTCTGGTGCTCAGGGGCTGGTATTTTGGATACAAAATATCCAAATAGTATAACTGTTCTAATTTTTATTAAAAATTATCTAAATAAGAGACTTGTAAAATACTACAAATTGATGTGTAAATGAAATTGTGTAGTGTCTCTGAGAGGCCCTGTTGTAACAGTGAGGACAGGATCTGGCCCTGAGCTCTGACCACAGGGTGACTTAGTGTTGAGGCAGCAGAAACTGTTATATCTTAAAATAAGTACACAATGTTAATATGAATTTAATGTGGGCTTTTTTCTTTTCTCTTTTTGCAACAGGTTGTTGAAGATTGGAAGTTCATAGCCCAGGTTCTTGATCGGCTATTTCTGTGGACTTTTCTTCTGGTTTCAATTATTGGCTCTCTTGGGCTTTTCGTTCCTGTTATTTATAAATGGGCAAATATAATAGTTCCAGTTCAAATAGGAAATGCAAATAAGTGATGCTTCCCTAGGGGCTGAGTAGGAATTTAGTTACCAAAAGACCTATGTACCTTATGGCACCTATAGAATTATGAAAATGTCAACTGTGTTTAAAATTTCATGCAAGTTTTAACAGATGAACAGTTGCTAATATCAGTTTATCTTAATAGATTTGTCCTTTAGAAAAGCCATCTGCATGACTGAATAACATTTGACCTTCTAAAAATAGCAGCAAAATATTCTCTGACCTGTACTAGTAAAAATCTAATGTTTGTACCCTGGTTAATAATACTTTGTCATTTGTAATAGTTTGTAATCAACAGTGAAGCTCATGTTTTGATGTGTTGGAGAATTCCTGTTGTATTTGAAGACGGACTTCAAAACGTTTTCTGCATTTGGTAAAGGTACACATTTTAAAATTCTTTCTGTCCTGTATTGACTGGGCAAAGGCTAGTCTTCAGTACAATATTATGTCACTATATTAAATAAGCTTACTACTTAGTATGATAATGATTGGATGTGATGCTGGTTTTCTATAACCAACTTTTGTAAAAAAATGAAAAATGGGAATTGGGATCTTCTTTAAGGCTTACTTTATTCTTTAGACACTTAGACTGAACAATTATATTATTTTTATAGCTTACCTTCCACTGTGAGACCATACAACAGACAAGTCCCATGGACACACGGCGGCACATCCTTAACATTAATTTTAATCCCCTTGTCCACGTTTGTCACAAGCAATAGAGCCATCTTCTGTATAAATTGTGGTAGCATCTCTTTATCCTTGATCTTAGATGAGTCCATGACAATTAAGAGAATCCCATTTTAAAAACATGTCGATGGATACTACTAAATTGTTCTGTGAGAATACCATCTTCTGAAATTTAAGATGGCAATCTAATTCAGTATGAGCACATCATACCTTTTACAAACCTGTAATCTTCCAGTTTTATCTCTTTCATTCCAACATTCCAATACTAGAGTCTGAGAGTTGCATGGGCTTTTAGACAAAATCTAGTTTTAGCCTATTACTACTTATGCAGTATAGTATCATGTATCTCAGGTAAGCAAGTTAAATTTATCTTTAAATATCCCTGGTGCAGCTGTGACCAGGAAGAAAACTCTGATAGAACTCTTGGACAAGATCTAGAACTCTTAGCTCTCGAGAGAACAAATTCCTCATTTAGTTATAGTATGTAACCCATCTGAGTTCAAGTCAATGCTCTTTAGAAGGTAGAGGGGACCCTAATTTGTATTTTATTGTAGACAGTTAATGCCATATAATGAGTGAAAGTCTGGTTTGGTTCATTTAAATTGCTGATTAGCTATCTTAGCATGTATATTTCCCTGATCCCTCTTCTGTCTCCATTACTGTGACAAACAATTTTTATATATAAATAAATTTTAGAGAAATTTTCCCTTTGACCTATGAAATATGACTCACAGTGGGCTGCAATATTGTCTGTTTATTTTTGCATAGGAAAAACATTATGATGACTAGTGAGCAGGTGAAAATGTTCACTGTGAACCTCACCTCTTGCCAGTGGATTCTGATTCAACACTGTAGTATGTGATGCTCTCTTCTTAGTGATTTGCCTACAAGCAGTAGTTTTCAACCAGGGGCAAGTTTGCCCCCGAGGGGACATTTAACAATGTTTGGACACATTCTTGGCTGTCACAACTGGCAAGAGATGGGGGTATGTTATTGGCATCTAGTGAGTACAGGGTACCGTGCTCCTAAAGTTCCTACAGTGTACAGGACAGTCCCCTTCTGACACGGAATTATCTGGCCTAAAACATCTCTGTTCTAAAACTACGTTAACAATGAATGTGTGACTAGGCATTATTTCTCACAGTACAGTTTTGAATTGTGCAAAAGAAATAGCTGAGGCCCTCTGCAGTGGAGACATGTCTTTAGACTCTGGGAAAACAGTAAAGAAGAAGTGTGTGGTAAGAAACAGTAGTGGGGTATTGCTGAAATAGTATAAATCTTCAAGATTATGGGCTAAATAAGAAAAACCACTGAGAAGTCTGCTGTGATACTGAACCAAATGATTTTCACATTTCTGAACAGTGAGTTTTTCTGTCCAGTTATGTTTTAACCACTGGAACAAAAGGGAAACAGTTTTCATATTTCGCCCATTTTTACATGTTCTGTCACTATGGAAGAATTATATTCTGACATTTCTTTACCTTACTAAAAAGGCTGGTTAAATATTCATTTACTTGCAATATATACTATTGACGTTTTTCTTACATGAATCTTCTTTGACAAAAATCAAGACAACTGGATAATAAGAAAACCTTAAAATGCCAGAAACAAAGACAGGAGCCTCATAATACAAAGTGAGTTACCATTAAGAAAGCATCTAAAATAATAAAACTCTTAGAAGAAAACAGAACAAATGCTTTGTGACATTGGATTTGACAGATTTCTTAGATATGACACAAAAGGCACAGGTAAAAAAGAAAAAAATAGACAAGTTGGACTTCATGAAAATTAAAGTTTTGCGCATCAGAAGACATTATCAACAGAGTGAAAAGCCAACCCAGAGAATGGAAGAAAATATCTGTAAATCATATATCTAATAAGGGACTAATCTCCAGAATATATAGAGAACTAAAATGTAACAACAGAGAAAAACAAACAACCTGATTCAAAAATGGGCAAAGGACTCAAACAGACATTTCTCCAAAGAAGATATATGAGTGGCCAATAAGCGCATGAAAAGATGTTCAATGTCACTAAAGAGAAATGCAAATCAAAACTACGCCTCACACCCATTAGGATGGCTATTATCAAAAAACAACAGTATTGACACAAAGAAGTTGGAACTCTGTGCGCTGTTGCTGGGAATGTAAAGTGATGCAGCCATGGTGGAAAATAGTGCGGTGGTTCCTCAAAAAAGTTAAAAATAGCATTACTATACGATCCAGCAATTTCACTTCTGGGTATATGCCCAAAAGAACTGAAAGCAGGGCCTCAAAGAGATATCTGCACTCCCGTGTTCACTGCATCATTATCCACAATAGGATGGGAACACCTGAAGTGTCTATCAGCAGGTGAATGAATAGCAAAATGTGTTCTCTACAGACGGTGGGATATTACTGAGCCTTGAAAAGGAAGGAAATTCTGTAATATACGACAATATGGATGAACCTTGAAGATACTGTGCTAAATGAAACAAGCCAGTCACAAAAAGACAAATACTGTATGATTCCACTTATACATGGTGCTTACTGGAGTAGTCAAACTCAGGAGCAGAATGTAGAATGGTGGTGGGGAGAGGGGAAATGGGGAGTTACTGTTTAATGGGTATATAGTTTCAGTTTTACAAGATGCAAAGAGTTATGGGGATGGACAGTGATGATGACTGCACAGCAATGTGAATGTATTTAATACAACTAAACTGTGAATGCAAAAAGTGTTAAGATGGTAAATTGTATGTTAAGTGTGTTTTATCACAATAGAAAAAAGAGCCCCTCCCCCCCAATATACCTCAGGCTGATGCACCGTTCAGTACTTAGGTTTCATCCCTGGCCATCAAGGGCTGCAGAAACAACCCGGCCGTCCCTAAAATGCACACCAGGATGAAAACCCACAGGAAAATACGATCAATCACCATGGCCACATACTTCCAGTCATCTTGAATCTGAAAAAAAAAAACAAAACACAAAAAATCATGAAAGAAGAAAAAACAAAGCATGAAGGAGAAGACGGCGTGACTACATTTTCAATCCTGAACATGTAACAAACACGTTGCAGCAGCAGAAGTAGCCGTTCCCACTGAAATGCAAGGAACCTTTAATCCCCATTGATGTAGAGTCTGAGGAAATGTACCACTGTCAAGTTTCTCTTTAGGCACCAGAGAAATAGTATAAAACATTTGTCGCCCAGCAGGTGTGGCTATAGGCCCTGTCATTCCCTCCTACAATCTGCTGGATCGGTCTATGATCCAGGAGATCGAGGTTCGAGAGCCGGTCAGGGCACATGCCTGGGTTGCAGGCTCCACCCCCAGCAGGGGGCGTGCAGGGGGCAGCCGATCAATGACTCTGTCATCATTGGTGTTTCTCTCCCTCTCTTCCTCTCCCTTCCTCTCTCTGAAAATCAATAAAGACATTAAAAAATAAATAAAATAAAACATCTGTCACGTTGAATCTGCTTTACATCAGAAATTTCTCAACGTGTACATAACGTACTTTTTCTAAGTTGAATTCCAATTTATAGTTAGTGAAGCCAGTTCGCTGACTTCCGCCTCCGTGGAGGATTCTGGGCGTGTGTTAGAACAGCGAATACAATCCAGCACCATTTACCTTTGTTTCAAAGTACTAGTTCTTACCCAGTTTTAGGTGTAATTTACTTTTAACATCCAAAAATGAGATCAGCGTATCAGGGCAAGTCCTTCATTACTTTCTCTCCCTCGTGCCCCCACCCCCACCCCAGCAATGCCTAAATAACCAAATATCACCTTCAGTTATAAGCCCAAAGTATCATGGAATTCTGTGCGGTTATAGAACAGGCTGAAAATCAGAAATAATTACTGGTTAGAAAGTAAAAGATGGAAGACAGAGCAGGACTCATTGTACATAACATCACTCCAGTTGAGGCTGGAGCTAGGAAGGGGGATTGTACGTTCATTATACTCCTAGACAACTCAGAAAGCAAGGAAACCATAATTGAATTGAGAAGAGAGAATCCATAAATCAACTAATTTGGAAAAAAAAATAATCGCATCACAAAGAGGCAGCATGGATGCAGTAATTTTATTAAGTGACCGAAATGGGGTTGGGAGACAGGGTTTATTTCACCATGATGAGCTGCAATGCATGTGTCCTCTTGATGACACTAAGGAGTCATAGGTAAAATTGGGATTCTGCTGCATTTGCCACATGGTATTTTATTTGAGTTCCTAAGATTTTGGTTTGTAAGTGCGTCTAGTACACAATAGACCCTGTCATTCCCCCCCCATCTCTGCTGGGTAAACCTCCTCAGGCCTGGGAGACGGGGGTGGGAAAGCAGGGGCGTGGAGACCGACTTTGAGTACAGCTCCAGCTCTGCTCCTTTCTATCCTGAGAGTCTGGGTAACTTATGTGACCTTTCTTAGCCTCAGTTTCCTCATCTGTAAAATGGGGATAAGGACAGTACCTGCCACAGAGGTGGTTATGAGGATGAAATGAAATGATGTGTCTGACCCAGTGTTCTTAAGGAATGATACTTTTGTATGTTAACGCTGACTTTAAAATGCCCGGTATCTAAGTATAAATCTCCCTCTGACGGCAGTTCACAGGGTTTAGCCTGGTGAAGAGAGACTTGGGTCTTACACCTGAATACAGTGCTTTGAAAAGAGCTGGGTAAAAATTAATCTTGTGTTTAAATTCTCAAAGTCTTTAAGATACAATGATAGTGGCAATTCTCTGGAACGTTTGGAATTAACGTTGAATAACAGGTACATGAGTTTAGGCAAAATTGTGGGCAAGCTCCTGGCTCCCTCTCTCAGCCCAGCTCTGTCCCAGAAGACCTGGGAAGGTGCAGCCTGGTGAGTATGAGCTGGGTCTGGGGAGGGGAGGGTCTGGGAAGGGAAGGGTCTAGGGAAGGAAGGGTCTGGGGAAAGGAGGGTCTGGGAAGGGAAGGGTGTGGGGAAGGAAGTGTCTGGGGAGAGGAGGGTCTGGGAAGGGAAGGGTCTGGGAAGGGAAGGGTCTGGGGAAGGAAGGGTCTGGGGAGAGGAGGGTCTGGGAAGGGAAGGGTCTGGGGAGGGAAGGGTCTGGGGAGAGGAGGGTCTGGGGAGGGAAGGGTCTGGGGAGGGAAGGGTCTGGGGAGAGGAGGGTCTGGGGAGGGAAGGGTCTGGGGAGAGCCTGGAACTGCGCTCTTTTCTCCCTGCCCTCAATTGGTTCAAGCACTTTGGAAACCTTACAGTACCCACTAAAGTTAAAAATACAGCTCTCCAGTGATCCAGCAGTTCCACTCTTAGGTGTACATTCAAGAGAAATAGGTGCATATGTTCACCAAAGGACATGTATAAGAATATTTATAGCAGCTTCGCTCAAATTAGCCCCAAACTAGAAATCACCAAATGTCCAACAACCATAGAATAACAGAGGGCAGGCGGTGTGGTCACTGTGGCATACAATAAAAAAGGGTGCACCTCAAAGACATTTTGAATGAAGGGAGTCAGATATGAAAGAGTTCATACTGTGTGATCCCACTTATTTGAAGTTCAAGGATCAGAGGAGGGA